ATCATGGGAGGTATTAGATCACAGTTTCGTATTGACTGTGCCGGGGAAAGTTAGATAAACATTTTAAATAAATTGAATTGTATTGTATTTTTAACGGTATATCATGAGAGAATGATACCGTTAAAGGTGCAAACGAAATGAAAGACATATCTTAATTTTTAAGTTCCATCTGTAATAGAAAATCTGATTGTTTTAGATGAAAGCAATGTTGGATTAATCAAATAAAGCACACACTCAAGTAAGTTATAACTTTGGCCCCCAGTATGAAAAATAAAAACAAATTTTAAATTCATCCGACAGTAGTTCGTCATTCTTAAACCGTGATTACCAATCTTTCTTTTTTAATAAGTGAAAGGGGATGAATATCTATGTCTTGTATGTTTATCTCTGTCTAGAGTGAATGAAGATGAATAGCTCTGTCTTGGATAAATGTCTTTGTTAAGAATGAATGAGGATGAATATCTATGGCTAGGATGGATAAGGATGAATATCTATGTGTAGAATGAATAGGGATAAATATCTTTGTATAGGATGAATGAGGATGAATATATGAACATCTATGGCTAGGATGGATAAAGATGAATATATATGTATAGGATGAATATCTATGTGTAGAATGAATAGGGATAAATATTTTTGTCTAGGATGAATGAGGATGAATATATGAACATCTATGGCTAGGATGGACAAGGATGAATATCTATGTGTAGAATGAACAGGGATAAATATTTTTGTCTAGGATGAATGAGGATGAATATATCAATATCTATGGCTAGGATGGATAAGGATGAATATCTATGTATAGGATTAATATCTATGTATAGGATGAATATCTATGTGTAGAATGAATATCTATGTATAGGATGAATATCTATGTGTAGAATGAAGCGGGATAAATATTTCTTTCTAGGATGAATGAGGATGAACTGCAGAAGAAGAGGGAAGAGGCGGAGAGGAAAGCAAGAAGAGGAGAAATAGATCCAACTCATGAGTTTACGTTCTTACTCATTGGACAGGTTAGAACTATTTACTCATTGGACAGGTTAGAACTACTAACTCATTAGACAGGTTAGAACTACTTACTCATTGGACTGGTTAGAACTTCACTTACTCATAACTATTTACTCATTGGAAAGGTTAGAACTACTTACATATTGACAGGTTAGAACTACTTACTCATTGGAAAGGTTAGAACTACAGGGTGTCCCACGAAACATGACAGTATGCAGGACGACTTGAATGTCGTCTTGATTTTTGATATAATTTGCTGCGTTTATTTGTCAACCTAATTTTAGAAGTAAATTTCTAGAGATAATAATCACAAAATTTCCCTTGTCCTGCCATTTCCAAAATGTGGTCTGCCTTTTTTGTGCTTTCAATATTGCCCGAGATATGAAGAATTTCGTTCAGAGTTCGACAATTTTGCTTTAATTTAAAAAAATTGAAATTTGAACCAAATTCTTTATATCTCCGGTAATATTGAAAGCACAAAAAACGCAGACCACTTTTTGGAAATGCCAGGGCTAGGAGAATTATGTGATAGTTGTTTCAAGAATCATACATTTTAAAGTAGATAGAAGACTAAATGTCACAAATAAATTCAAATACCAAAGACGACTTTCAAGTCGTCTTCTTATTGTCATGTTTCGTGGGACACCCTGTACTTACTCATTGGACAGGTTAGAACTTCTTACTCATTGGAAAGGTTAGAACTAATTAGTCATTGGACAGGTTAGAACTAGTTACTTATTTGACAGGTTAAAACTCCTTTACATTGGACAGGTTAGAACAGGTTAGAATCTAGAAAACGGAGTATATAAAATTGAGAACATATTGTTGTTCTTTATAGATACAACACAGATATTATCACAGATACTGATTACTGATGGTCATATTTCAACATTGGTTGGTTTGTTCCATTTATTAAAATGAACTTTAAAGCGGCTGAACCAATTGGAAAAATATTTTTGTGAGAACCGTTTGGATTCCCAATCTAGTTTATTATATTTTTGAACAGATGGACCAATGAAAAAGTTTACTTCTAGACACTATTATCACTATAGTTGATAGTCACGATAAGAAGTAAAAATAGAAAACTAAGATTTTTTATTGCAACTTTGCTTTTCATCACTTCCAATGTGGCAATTTTCTAAACGTGAGGTTCTACAACTAATTTAATGGGTAAAGAAACAGAGAAGCCCATTTTTTTTGGTTAGTTTTTAAAACTTTTCATAAACCTTCCAATATATTTCTAAACAGTATTTTGTTAAAGTCAGCTTTGCAAAATTTTTATCCTAAGAGAAAAAAAGAAAGAACGAACTAAAAAACACGCTTTTCTTCGTTTTCTTTAGCATACAATTTCTCTCATGGTCCAAATTTGGCAAAGTTTAAGGACAGAAAATGTTTAAAATAAACAATTATTTTGAAAGTAGTAAAACTTCTTAGATTTTTGTGGAACCCTGTAAAAGTCCAAAAAGAGATTGGAATTCACCAAGAAGAATTCACACATGAACAACAGACATTGAGAGGCTCAAATATCAATTATGGAGAAGCTTTAAATTATCAGTTCTTTATTTCTTTATTCAAGATTACAAAATAAAGGATTATTTCCAGTAGTTCGGGTCCTTTACTTTCATGCCTTTATTATTCCGGTTTAAGAACAGCAAGATGCTAGAAAGTATAATTAATAATCATGTTTAAGGAATGCTGACCAATAAATAACTTGTCGATTTTTAAACTCAAATTTTACTTGTTTTTGTTTAGTTTAGTGGACTGCTACGTCATGAGATTATGGACTATATGTTTAATGATCCGTCTATGCTGGATCATTTAGATTATCTCTTCAAAAGTGACAATGCTAGAAAACTTCTTTTTTATTATCAGGTAAGAAATAATAATTAAAAAGTTATTTTTTTATGAATTTCATCTTATTTTTACATTTTTTAATGTTAAAATGTCATTTGCATTTTCTTCTGTAAACGACCGTCTTTTAAAGATGTATACTGTACAATGTATGCATATGCATCGTGTACAATGTACCACACATCATTGTAAGATTAAAAAAATTCTGTACAGTACATAAGGTGGGACTATTAAACAAAGATTATAAAAATGTCAAGCTGAAATATTCATCAATGAAACAAAGGAATTGAATCTTTGCAATAAATCCCAATTTTCTAATACCTATATATCTACAACCAAATTATGTAAACCTTAGATATTTCAAACTTTGATTGTTTGATATAACAGAAGTCATAGTTTGAAATATCTAAGGTCTACAACATTGGTTGTTAAGATATAGGGATTTAAATACCAGAGTTTGTGGCAAAGACTCAATTCCTTATGGATAAAAAAATGTTGGGGAAACTTCTTAACCGTTCAACGGTTCAAATATGTTCTAGAATTTTGCACCACCCCAATCCTTTTTAATGTAGGGTGAAGAGCCGAAGGATGAGGAGAAAGGAATGGACCAGAGTAAGAACAAGAAGAGGATCAAGAACCCAAACTTCTCCGTCCTGGAGAAGGGGAAGGAGGCCGAGGAGAGGAAACCAGGTTGGGTTAAAGGGACTGTTCACCTTTCTAAAAAAAACTTCAAAATAAACTTTATTTTTGTTCTCGAGATTTGTACACTGATAAATAGAACTCAAGGATATATTTCAAAATATGTCAACACTTTTCACCAAGACTAAACAAACTTTGATTGCTTTATTTTCTTTAATTTCAATGATGATCTTTGTCAGTAAATTGTTTGATCCAAACCAACTCTATTTGATGAGGCTTATTTTCTTTAGGACGAAAGATTTTATTTGTGACGGATGGGAGCGAAGGATCCTTGAACGGGTTCTGTATGTACTTTCTCAGGACTAGTACTAAGCGTACTCTTGGAGAAGAGACATTCCAGGTAAAAATTCGCCAAATTAATAAATTGATTCGTTGCTTGTTTTATTGATTCATTTATTGATCTGTTGTTCCATTCATTATTCATCAACTGATTTGTTGTTTCATAAATTAATTCATTGTTTCAATCACTTATTCATTGGATCGTTTATCCTCTCATTTTGTCATCAGTCTTTTATTAGGAAAGTTTAAACTTGGTCCTTATTTAATTTGATATTTCAAATGCTTGAAAAAACACTGAACCACGATAACTTTCTCCTCTTTCCTCCATTTTGATTTTCCGCCAACTTTTCAGACCCAGACTTATCTGTAACAACATTTTTGATCGAAAGTTCTAAAGTTCGTTAGCAACAGCCGGTTGTGATAAAACAGACACACACAGTGACAAACACATAGACAAACTATCTGTTTATCAATATATCTATCTAGAGGGAAATAATGGCAGGCTTGATTAACGCGAACATCAACGAGAATCTTCTCTGGAACATCGAGAGGTCCGTCTCCAATGTGTTCATCCCTCTGTTGAACACTAACGGGATGGGGGACAAGGGGACGGATCAACTCCTCTTCAAGGTTAAGAAGGAACTCCTGCCTTGTCTTAGATCCTTTACAAGGTAAACCATGCTCCTGATATCTTTAACAAGGTAAACCCTGCTCATTAGATCCTTTACAAGGTAAACCATGCTTCTGATATCCTTAACAAGGTAAACCCTACTCATTAGATCCTTTACAAGGTAAACCATGCTCCTGATATTCTTAACTCTGCTCCTCAGGTCCATTACACGTTAAACCCTGCTTATTAGATCCTTTACAAGGTAAACCCTGTTCATTAGATCCTTTGCAAGGTAAACCCTGCACCTCAGATCCATTACAAGGTAAACCCTGCACCTTAGATCCTTCACAAGGTAAACACTGTTCATCAGTTCCTTTACAAGGTTAACCATTTTTCTTACCCTATATAAGGTAACCCTAGCTCCAACAATACCACTTCTTTGAAGTTGTTCTCAGCTTAAACATTCATTTTTCTATTATCTTGATGAAAAATTAATTTTGGTAAAACCATTCTTTGATGTTCTCTTCCCTGCATTGAAGAACTCCGTTGGTGAAAACTGTTCAAGAAAGTTAAATAACCTAACTTAAATTACTTAAACATTAATGATGTTTGTGGTATTACCGACCTATAAGCCCCCAACAGAGGGACAATTAAGAAAAATAACATCCCGCTTTGCATAGTTTTTGTAAAACAATCACGCAATTTTAGATCAAAAGACGATAAAATGGTTTATAACTACTTTTTAGGAATATTAAACGTTTTACTCAACCACCGGTTTCCTCGACCAATTTTAGGGACTATGTTCTTGATGTTGTGGAGGCAAAATTGGTCTTGGGAGCCTTTGTAAAGTAAAATTCCCTTGCTTCCATGCTAAGTAGTTGTTAAAAAGTATTTGCAAGCAACGTTTAGCAGATTGTGGGAGAAAAGTTATCCGCCATTGAAAATTCATCATAATATTCTTTAAAAAATCTGATTTTCCAACTATCGGCGTTCTAGAAAGATTCTTAAGAAATATTTTATTCAGTTCTTTGCGCGTGGCCGAGTTAGTGTGGAAGGAGGGTGTGCTCATTAAGGAGTTCCCCCCTGAATCCTACACCATCAAGAACATTGACGATGCCTTCGCCTACCTCAAGACTGAGGATGGGCAGAAACGGTGAGTACTGAGTAATAAAATGCAAGTATTTTTATAAATAAATATTTTAAAATCTTAATTATCATTTCTTGAAATACGGACATTTTGGATGTGTGAACTTTGAGTGCGTATTTTATCTATGAAATCTACAGTTTTCTGTGTACTGCATGCATTCTGTAAACTGTTCTCTTCTGGAATGCAAAATGTATTTTTAGCTAAGCAGTGTGTTGAAAATACATTTCTCGAATACATAAATTCATATAGCTATAAAACATAAAAGAAACAATGTGATGCGGGAAATGATTTGCAATTTCAGTACTTTTAAATGCTTTTTGTGTCGATATTTTTCATGCGAATTAAAGAAAGCAACCTTCTTTTACTGCACAATTGCAATTTTAGTAGTTGCCAAAGAATACATTTATGCATTTTTGCAAAGCAGCATTTTATCCCCTGAATATAAAGCACTGTAATATAACGATAAATCAAACGGTTTCTGGATGCACACATATTAACAGGGAGCAGTTTATCATTCTTGATCCTCTTCTCTTCCTCAACTATATCAGGGTTTAACTTAAAAACAAAGAATATATGGCCGCACAAAAATCATAAAAAATATAAAAGTTCAAATTGTGAAAGTTTGAAATTGATTTTTAACATCCAATAATCAAATTATTGATTTTTTTCTTCAATTCATCTCAAACTAGCTGGAGAGCCCGGTGTTGCCCGTGGATAAAAACATTTTAAATAACATTTTTTTTAAAAAGGTTGAAATTTATTTTTTATTTTTTTTAGTCTATAACACCCCCGGCCACCCCTGAGTGTCGACAACAAATTTCAGCCCAATCGGTTCAGCCGTTTCGCTGGCTATAGACCACATATATATATACGAATGTCTTGTTTTATTATATAGATATCCGCTTTGAAACAACTTAATAAGTAATGCGAAAACAATTTCTCATTGACCCGACACCTAAAAATTGTAATATCGTGGATTAAGGCACATTTCAGGTGGTGGGTTTGCCTAAGTTCAAGCTAAGTTAACAATTGATATGGTGTTTCAGATAAAATAATAATTGTGCCTAACGTAGAAAATTGTAATATCGTGGATTAAGGCACATTTCAGGTGGTGGGGTTGTCTAAGTTCAAGCCAAGTTAACAATTGATATGGTGTTTCAGATAAAATAACAATTGTGCCTAACGTAGAAAATTAAGGCACATTTCAGGTGGTGGGTTTGTCTAAGTTCAAGCCAAGTTAACAATTGATATGGTGTTTCAGATAAAATAATAATTGTGCCTAACGTAGAAAATTTCCAACACTGATCCTTTACAGGGCGTTCTAATTTAGGTTTAAAAAGTATATAGGCCATACTTTAGGTTTGAAGAGTATCTACAGAGCTATATATAAAGTTAAACCGTCCTACTTTAGGGATCTACGGAGCTGGATGTAAAGTTAAAACGTCCTACTCTAGGTTTGAAGAAAATCTACGGAGCTTTTAAAGCGTCTTACTGTAGGGTCGAAAAGCCCTATTCTAGGTTTGAAAAGTATCTGCAGAGCTCGATGAATGATTAAAGCCCCCTACGATAGGTTTGAAGAGTATCTACGGAGCTGGATGAATGATTGAATCGTCCTATTCAAGGTTTGAAGAGTATCTACAGAGCTGGATGAATGATTAAAACGTCTTGGTTTGAAAAGTATCTACAGAGCTCGATGAATGATTAAAGCCCCCTAGGCTAGGTTTGAAGAGTATCTACGGAGCTGGATGAATAATTAAATCGTCCTACGCTAGGTTAGAAGAGTATCTACGGAGCTGGATGAATGATTAAAGCGTCCAACTCTAGGTTTGAAGAGTATCTACGGAACTGGATGAATGATTAAAGCGTCCTCTCTAGGTTTGAAGGGTATCTACGGAGCTGGATGAATGATTAAAGCCCCCTAATCTAGGTTTGAAGAGTATCTACGGAGCTGGATGAAGAAGATTCAGGAACTCCTACTTGAAAGTGAACAGCTCCGCCTTGAAACCGATGATGCTGGGCCTCAGGTACTAAATATTTATTTTTTTTAACTTAAAGAACTTCTAAACTTAAAACTGCCCCCTCCCCCTCCCCTCTCTATGAGTTCCCTTGGGGTAAACAGTAGAGAACAACTTGACTTCTAGTTTTCCTAATTTTCCTTCCTTACAAAAGTTAGACCTGAGTTGAAATATATTAGTTCTATTTCCAAACGAATTCCTTCTGAACCCGGACTGTATATCTAGTATTGACAGAACATATACGGTGTCTTGATAAACAAACGACAGCAATAGAAAATATACTACAATAAAGACTTATATGCGTTTAGAAAATGATAAATTGGTTTTGTTCTATAGGATGGTTCTTATTTTTGGTACTTTGGTTTTCTGTTTTTCGTTTCAACATTTGGGATTCTTTATAAACAAAAACTGGGAAAATTCCAATGTTTAAAATTTTTTAATTCTTTTACAAAAGTTTTGAGACACCTGGCAGTTTCGTCAAGTTTCAGAATAGTCTAAAAGTTAGAATATATTGAAATACTGCAGAAATAATAAAATTGTTGTATTTATAAAATTATACTCTAGGATGAACTTGAGTACTGGAAGTCTAGAGCAGCAAGATTAACCCTACTATACTCTAGGATGAACTTGAGTACTGGAAGTCTAGAGCAGCAAGATTAACCCTTCTGGTAGAGCAGATTAACACAATGCCCTGCAGAATGACGCTTGTTGTTCTGAGAACTGCTCAATGCAAACTAATGAAGGTAGATATCAATATTAAAAAATTAAAATTTAGATTAGTCAAAATTACTATTTGTGATCTTCATTTGAATTTGAAATAACTTTGCAACTTTCTGGAATATATTAAATAAGTTCTGTGTGTTGATAAATAATATTAAATCTCTCTGTTTCTTTGGCAATAAAAGAACCGAGTTCAAGTTTATATTGGGTATAACTATTGACATCAGAAAATCGGTTTTCCATGATCATGAAACCAGAAACTTGGAACATGAAACCTAAACCTAGGAGCTGAGATCTACTCACAATAAAATCAGAACTGGAAAACTTCAAATACTTGAAAAATGTTAAGGTTTCTTTAACATACAGGGTGTCCCAGGAAACATGACAGTTGGTGAATAGTTTTAAATGTCTTCTTCCATAATTTGTTAAGTTCTTTAATACCAAAGAGAATAGTAAAAAACATCGCTTGGTAGTATTATTATAATAAAGTTGATTTTAAAGCAAAATATAATCGAGTAAAAGATTTTTTTAGCAAAATAAACTGCAAAAAGTCTTTAATATAAAATACTTAATATTGAAGAAGACATTCAAAACTATTTACCAACTTTCATGTTTCGTAAAACACCCTGTATTTTGAGAGAATAAAATCAACTCATTTGAACTGTTCACAGGTTTGCCAATGAAAAATAAGGTAAAGAGTTCAATTCATTGAATAAATAATAAAATTTAAAGGGACTGGAGACGTAATTTCAAGTGGCCTTTCATTTATCGACGGTGATGTCTGATTCACAACGGTACACATGATGTCATTGGACTTATTTAGGCCTGGAGAGAGATAGATGTTCGTATAACAAGATACCACGTAGAAGCTTGTGATAATGCTAAGTTCCTAGGAGCCATCGAGAGATCTAGCCATGCTATATATCTAGAGGTAATGATGATAATAGTAATGATAATAATATTGATAATAATAATGATAATAATAATAATTATAATAATTTTAATAATAATAATCCATAATAATCATAATAATTATAATAATGATAATAAAAATAATAAAATAATAATAAAATAGTAATAATAATATATTTTTTTTAAATTTGAATTCTCAGGACCCGTACAACATGAAGACCCCCTTGATGAGGCTGTTGCATATTGTGAAGATGATCTTCAACGTGTCCTGCTTCTATAATACCCCGGAGAGGGTAGCCTCTCTACTCGTTAAAATCACTAACCAGGTAAATATTTACAGGTTTACAAATTGGAATCATTGCATTTTAGAATATTTAAGAAATTTTTGTTTTAAATAAACATCGGAAAAACTGAACCAAAGGATTTAAGTCTTTATCACAAACTCTGATTTTCTAACCGCTTTTTCTTTGCTACCCAATGTCTGGGACCTTTGATATTTCAAGCTATGAATTATGTTAGATTAAATTATCTAAGTTTGAAATATCAAAGGCTTTCACCATCAGGTTAAAAAGATATTAGGACTAGAAAATCAGAGTTTGTGACAAAGACTTAATTCCTTTGACCCACCTTTTTGTGGAAGCTAACATAGCCCCATGGTTGTATAAATACCTATCATCAATTATGTTTTGAAAATATCATTCTCTGAAATTTATAAATATTAAAAAATTCACTAATAATAAACATGAAAATCTGATGAATTATATTGTTATTGTTGAATAACGAAGGAAGAGAAAATGCTCTTTGAATTAAACAATGGTTCAACTAAAAGTTTAAAATATCTGGACAACCCTAGTTAAAATATCTGGACAACCCTAGTTAAAATATCTGGACAACCCTAGTTAAAATATCTGGACAAGCCTAGTTAAAATATCTGGACAAGCCTAGTGAAAATATCTGGACAAGGACTTAGGCTCGACTTAAGGAGAATGAAAATAAAACCGACCTTGGTTGGTTTTAGTGGAGAATAAGGCTCAATGTTGGGTCTTATTCTCATCAAAACTCGGAATGCACCAATTCCAACTATGAAAATCCGCCAAATACAACATTAAACCGGTTTTTTGAACTAAACTCTGTTGAAAAATAGATGCAACTTAAATTCGAAAGCCCGAGCCGTAAATAAGGCTCAACAACAGCTTAGACCCGAGTCGTATTTTCTTGAATTTTTTAAATCGCCGGCTCTGGACAAGCCTAGTTAAAATATCTGGACAAGCCTAGTTAAAATATCTGGACAAACCTAGTTAAAATATCTGGAAAAGCCTAGTTAAAATATCTGGACAACCCTAGTTAAAATATCTGGACAAGCCTAGTTAAAACATCTGGACAAGCCTAGCTAAAAAATTTTTTTTTTGAGGTGATTAGAAGCTGTAAACGGTATATTACGGAGAGTGGACGAGTAACAATCTGGAACCAAGAGAGAGAACAGATTGAGATTAAACTTACAGAGTGCATCAAACTCAACGATCATTATAGGTAGATCTTTCATCCTTTCCTTCGGGATTACAAAGTGATCAAACTGAGCGATCTTTATAGTTAGACCTTTCTATCCTCTCCTTTAGAATTACAGAGTGATAAACATAAACGCTCACTCAAGATAGATCTTTCTATTCTTTCCTTTAGGATTAAAGAGTGATCAACATGAACGATCATTATAGGTAGATCTTTTAATCCTTTCCTTTCAGATTGTATAGTGATCAAACTGTACGATCATTATAGGTAGATCTTTCTATCCTTTTTATCCTTTCCTTTCGGATCACAGAGTGATCAAACTGAACGACCCTTACTGGTAGAACTTTAAGATTACAAAGTGATCAAACTGAACGACCCTTACAGGTAGATCTTTCAGGTTACAAAGTGATCAAACTGAACGATCAGTATAGGTAGAGCTTTCAAATTACAGAGAGTATCAAACTGAATGATCAATATAGATAATTATTTCTATCCTTTCCCCTCGGATGATAGAGTAATCAAACTGAACTATCATTATATTATAGACATCTTTTAATCCATTCTGTTCTGTTTTACCTCACCTACTCGCTTATGCTTTTATGTACTCTTGGACATGTAAATTTCAAAACTGTATTTAGCTTGTATCAAGCTTCAATTTAAAGAGTTAGATTTTTGCTTAAAAGCTTGTTTAATTTGGTTTGCGGTAAACTGTCAAATAAACATCGTTTATAAACCTGTGGCAAGAATTTATGTATAGTGAAAAGTAGTTGAAATATGTAGGACTAGTTGAACTACTTCTACCATGATGGTACAAGCTAGGGCTATCCTATGGTTCATGAAAAGTATTTGAACCAGTATTTGCTAGTTGAACTACTTCTACCATGATGGTACAAGCTAGGGCTATCCTATGGTTCCTGAAAAGTATTTGAACCAGTATTTGCTAGTTGAACTACTTCTACCATGATGGTACAAGCTAGGGCTATCCTATGGTTCCTGAAAAGTATTTGAACCAGTATTTGCTAGTTGAACTACTTCTACCACGATGGTACAAGCTAGGGCTATCCTATGGTTTCTAAAAAGTATTTGAACCAGTATTTGCTAGTTGAATTACTTCTCTCAATCATGAATTTCGGTCCAATAATCATATGATATTATTATTAATGACATTGACAATCACATTAATAATTTTGTAAAAATTCTAATAATAATATTAATGCAGGGATGCGTACCAGAAAGTCAAGAATCGAAAGGTTGGAAGGGAACTCAGAGAATTCAGTTTTAGTGAAAAATATATTTTTGGAAGATTCGACTCGTTCTGCATCAGGCTTAAAAACCTTCTAGGTAATTGAATTGATGTAATGTTGTCTTTATAAAATAATCTCATGTAATGAACAATATTTCATATATTATTAATATATATATATATGGAATCATTGCATTTTAGAATATTTAAGAAATTTTTGTTTTAAATAAACATCGGAAAAACTGAACCAAAGGATTTAAGTCTTTATCACAAACTC